CAAAATGGCCAAAACCAGTCCATTTCAGCTCACTAATGCTGAGGATATCAATCTTTATGCGTTCCATTTCCTTTTTGACAACTTCCAATTTTCCTAGAGTACTTACTAGTGCCCTGCATGAACCTGCAAGTACAATGGAGGAGAGGTCTTTGTCCTACAGGAGATGTTTTTGTCCTGTATCTTATCTTGCATAAGATAATAAACAAGACTCTGTGTGATAAGAGAGTACTGAAGTGCCTGGGGGGCAGGTGGAACAAATGCCATTGCAGTTTGGAGAAGGGAGAAATCTATGTGGATGGGAGAGATCAAAGGGAAAGCTTCAGGGGGCAGTGAGCCCTCAGTCAACCCTAAAGGATAAGCAACAGGGTTGTGTGTTTGTGACTGTAACTTGAGTCCCTAGGGTCCTGATCTGGTCCTCACTAATCTTTTCCCCAGCTGGTGAATCAGTATCCTGGGAAAGTGAGTACTCATTTAAGGGCATTGGCTCTGGAATCAGACCTGAGTTTGGAGCTAGCTCTAACATTTATCACTTTGGTGGCCTTGGGCAAGCCACTGCATTTTCTGAGCTTCAGTGTTCCTCTCTGTAAAATGGGGACAGTGATGGTCCTTACCTCAGAAGAGCTGCTATGACAATGAAGTGAGGCAATGCATGTAGAGCCAGCTGCCAACATGGAGTGGTGGGTAGAGGAGGAGGATATCATCTGCCTGGGTCTGAGTGAGAGACTCCAGGAGTCCTTTCTGATCGCTCACACCCATGTGCAGGGCATCTTGGGCTGCTCAGTCTCAGAGTTCTCATCCTTGAGCCCACCACTAGCCTGAGAAACAGTAAGACCTGGACAAGGGATTTACAGACTCATAAGATTCTGCTTTAGGATCTTGGAGACATCTATTCACATTATTCATCCATTCCACACCCAAGGATTGGTTGTTTAATAAATGCTAGACTCAATACTAGCAGCTGGGATTCAGTGATCAGCAAACTAGAGCCAGTATGGTATGTAAATTGTACCTCAGTAAAGCTGTTCAACAAGGTAGAGCCAGTCCCCACCATCTTGGGCGCTTATAACAGTGGGCTAGATGGTCATTAATCAAATACACAAATAGTGTGTAAGTGCTATGAAAGGAAAATGTAGCATCGTATGAAATTGTTTGGCAGGAGTGAGTCATCTTGTCTAGAATATGAGAGAAGGCTTCCTGGAGAGGTGATGCTGAGCTGGGTGCTGAAGGAACCAAGGGATTGAGTCAGGTGAAGATGCTCTTGGCATTGGGAATAGGACATGCAAAGGCCCTGAGGTAGGAAAGTACAGGGATCATTGGATAATCAGAAAGAGAGTAAATGTGGCTGGGATGTCAGTGTAGTAGGAGATGAGACTAGGAGAGGAGCTGAGGAAGGGAGTTGGGTCTGCATTTTAAGACCCTGATTTTGTGCTGTCTACCATATGGGCCCCAGCTGTTCTCCTCTAGCTGGGACAGGTTTGTTGGTGACCATGGGGTCCAGGGGAGGCTGACAGGAGTGCCAAGGGCAGCATATGTCCTGGGCATCAGCCTCCTGGGTTGGGCTTCTTGGTCCTGTGGAGACCCATCGACAGTCCGTCTCTGGGCCAGGGCTGGCTCTATTTAGCAGCTGTTCCCCAGCTGGGAAGAGGCTTTTAGCTTTAATAAAAAGGGAGTAGAGATAAGCAGACTGGCTCAGTGGGGAGAACAGCAGTGACAGGATGATTTAAACTGCCTCTCCAGTGTCATTTCTTCTGTGCAGACATCATAAATCAGATTAGCATTGGGCTCTGTCAGGAGGGGGATTGGAAGAGAGACCTGGAGGGAGAGAAGAGAAGGACCTGGGACTGGCCTGAGTCAGTGGGACAGCCCCAAAGGATGGGTTGGGGGTGTCACCTATGCCTGTCACTCAGCCCCAGCCCTGTTCATTGGAGAAAAGTGGGTGAATTGACTCTCCCACCCTACCTTTTCAGCCCTTTGCCAGCTTTGGGGTAGAAATGAAGAGGGACTGATAAGAGTAGGGAAGAGAGAAAATGGGAGAAGAATGGAGGGGCAGGTGTAAGAGGCGGGCATTTACAGCCGTTGGAAAACCACCTTGCTGCCGTTGCTGCTGCTGTCGAGTCAGCCCCAACTCATGGTGAGCCCTTGCGCAGCAGAGTGAGACGCGGCCCTGGGCTGTCCCCATGATCAGCTGTGGATCAGTATTCTGTTGTGGTCCAGAGGGTTTTCATTGGCCGGCTCTCAGAAGATCACCAGGACTTTCTTCCTCATCCCTTTTAGTCTAGAAGCTCCACTGAAGTCTGTTCAGCATCATGGCAAAACACAGGCCTCCACAGACAGACAGGTGGTGACTGCTCTTGAGGATCGTTGGCCAGGAATGGAACCTGGTGTCCCTCATGGAAGGCAAGGGTTCTACCACTGAACCACCACTGCCTCACATCCAACTAGGCATTAGCATCACTTTGGGAACTTTAAATAATACTGATGGCTGCGTACTGCCCTTGGCATTTCTGAGTTCCTGGTAAAGTTAAGAAGCATTGGGTTGGAGCTTAGCTTCTCTCTTAAACTTGAGAACTATACAGTCTTAAACCATAACTTCCATCATGGCTGTTCAGGTCTTTCAGTCCCTCTTGTCTTCCTGAAAATGACAGGATTGAGGGACCAGCATAAAAGTCCTATCTCTGGGACTCCCACTCACCCTTCCCTTTCAGGTCTCGCGCCACCTGGGCAAGATGTACAGTGAGATGATCTTTGTCAACGGCTTCGTGCACTGTGATCCTCACCCTGGCAATGTGCTGGTGCGGAAGCACCCGGGCACAGGCAAGGCAGAGATTATCCTGTTGGACCATGGACTGTACCAGGTAGGAGAGGCTCTGGTCCTGCCTGGAGTAAGAGCCCACTGCCCTCCCATTGCCACAGAGATGGAGGCCGAGAAGTAAGAGCTGGGGGGGCCTTGTCCTGCCCAAGGAGTGGGGCCATCAGTGCAAGTCACACATACAGGATCAGCTTCCTCCTCAGTAAAGTGAGGCTTATGTTATATTTTACCACCACTGTGAGGATTCACTAGAAATACGCTTGTACATATGAAAGTGCTGTAAGCTGTAAGAAAACGTGCCTTCCCAGGGGACCCAAGTGAACTACCCTGGTGTGAGCTGGGGTTTCAGAGGGAGGTGGAAACTGCGTGTTTCATCCAGTGAGGATATGATATATGTAGTGGGTGAGGGGGATAGGTAACTGATAAGGGCTGGGTGGCCCCAGACTCTGTCTTCTGGAACTCAGGACACAGAGCTAATTTCAATAAACTGTGAGCTCCTACCTGGAAATGGCAACATTCCCTGCCTATCCCAGAAGGCCCAGGGTGTGAGTTGATTTCTTGAGGCAAGTGGTCCTGGGAAGGTTTCCCCATGGTCTCCTGGTCCTTCCCTCAGGACCCTGATATCATATCCCAAAATCTTGGCCTCCCATGAAAGACTCAGTGAAAAGGATGCATTAGTTTAGGGTAGGGTGGCTGCTATCTCGAAATGCATGCTGGGCCAAACATACTACAAGTTTAATTTCTTGCTCCCATACCAGTCCTGGGCAGTGAAGGTGTCTGGAGGCAGCCCTCCTCCTGGACTCCAGGCTGAGTGGAGCTGTCCTTCCCGGGCCTCCTGGGAGGTACCATGCTATCAGCTGGCAGGCAAAGGTCAGGACACAGAGGAGTGTACATGGGAAAGTTGCCTGGAAGTGGAGCTTCTGCCACCTTCTGCCAGCTGGAGCTTAGTCACGTGCAGGGAGGCTGGAAATGTAGCCCGTGCCTGGGCAGCAGGGGAGAATGTGGACTGTGGTGGGCAGTTAGCAGTCTCTCCAGTCTGGACCAAGCTTACCAAATTGGAGCCTTAACCTCAGGCCTGCAGGGTTGACTGAACTTGTGGAGAGAAGCAGACATCATACAGGAACCATCGTCATTACCCATTTCTGAGTTCCCCTTTGCAGTGGTCAGCACCAGCCAGGGACTTGAGGCCTGCACAGTGAGGACCTCACGGGGACAGGAGGCTCAGGTCCTGCTACTGTTGCCCCCACCTTAGGTACTCACGGAAAACTTCCGCCTGGATTACTGCCACCTCTGGCAGTCTCTGATCTGGACAGACATGAGGAGGGTGAAGAAGTACAGCCAGCGCCTGGGAGCCGGTGAGCTCTACCCCTTGTTTGCCTGCATGCTGACGGCCCGGTCATGGAATTCAGTCAACAGGGGCATTGGCCAAGCTCCGGTCACTGCCGCTGAGGTAGGTGGTCCCATCCTGGCCCTTTCCTCTCCCTCAGGTCACACGGGCAGGGCCACATACAGCCTTTTGACCCCTTTTAACCTCTTTGGATCCCTTCTCCTCCAGTCTGAGATTGTAGACTGGAGGACTATGTGTGTGTGAATGTGTGTGCACACACGTGCATGTTAGAGGTATTAGATGGAAAGAAGGGGGCAAGAGGAGAAGCAGTGCTCCTGAACAGAAGGTAGGAAAGGGCAATATATCCCACTGTGTGCTGTCCAGCCCTTACCAGCCTAGACATACAAACAGGGTAGTGTTACTATAGTAACCCAGATCTCTGTGGCTTTAGCCCCAACCTGCTCATACAAGATTTCAGGCTCCTGCCCAGTTCTGATAATGTCCAGGGACTGTCTCATGTGTGTTCATGAATATGTCTGGCACCACCTCTGCTGTGCACTGTCAGCCAGCACATGGCTTCTCTGAGACACCAAGTGGTTTGCTTACTCTTCTGAGGTACTAAGTACTTGTCCCATTGTCCTACAGAGTTTTTAGTGAAGCCACTTTTTTAAAAAAATCTCTGTTTATAGTTCATTTCTCCATTGGACCTAGACAAGAGTCCCATTGAGACTGGGCTGGGAGACAGAGGGTAGGAACATGCCCTCCCGTGCCCGTTGCCACGTGCTCCTATGAGAGAAGCTTACTGGGGCAAGCTCACTTTTCTTGCTCAGCGTGAGGGCCCTCCTAGTCCTATGGAACTGACTTCTGTCTTCCCATTCTGTCAGTTTTTCCAGACCTGCCTGAATCTGTGTGGCAGCTGTCTTTGGGCTCCCGCTGAGGCCCCTGCTCACCATTAGGGCAGAGTCCCACTCATGCAGTCAGAAGGACCTGGATTCTAGTTCCAGCACCTCCTCTTCCTGGTGATGTGACCATAGGCAGTTCCCTTCACCTCTTTGAGCCTCATGGCCCTGACCTGTAAGATGCTTTGTGGTCAGTGGCTTTGGGAATGGCTAGATGCAGAGTCTCAAACAATGTCATCAAGAGGCCATGTCTCTCCATCTCTTGGCTGTACCTTCCTCCAACTTGACATCAATCTTCAGCAGGCTTGGCAGCACCCAGAGCCACCAGCAGCCCCAGGCTTAACAACCTGAAAACGAGTTGCCATCAATTTGGACTCCCTGCAACCCCGTGTGTGTCAGAGCAGAACTTTCCTCTACAGGATTTTCTTTGTATTTATTTATTTTCCATCTTTTTCTTATGGTTTGGGTGAAAGTTTACAGAGCAAATTGGTTTGCCATTCAGCAGTTCATACGCATTTTGATTTGGGACATTGATTGCAGTCCCCACAGTGTAACAGCTCTCTTTCCACTTCCTCCCTGTGTTTACTGTTTCCATGTGCCCTTCGTCCCTATCCCTTCCTGCCTTGTGAGTTTCATCCTGGGCAGATACTGCCCTTTCGATCTTGTTCAGTTGATTGTTTGAACGAGTGCTTGCGTTCCTGGTGTTAGGATCCACTTTCTAGGTCGGTCTGCATTTGGCTCAAACTTGAGCCATGGTGGTAAGCTCAGTTCCAGGCTTGAAGGGTGTCTAAGGGCCATAGTCTCAGGGGTTCCACCAGTGCCTGTCAGAGCAATAAGCCTGGTCATTTTTATGATTTTGAGTTCTGTTCCACATTTTTCTCTCACTCTGTCTAGGACCTCCTATTGTGGTCCCTGTCAGAGTAGTCAGCAGTGGTCAGAGGGTTTTCACCCACTGATCCCAGTGTGGTCCCTGTCAGAGTAGTCAGCAGTGGTTGGAGGGTTTTCACTCACTGATCCCAGTGTGGTCCCTGTCATAGTCGGCAGTGGTCGGAGAGTTTTCACTCACTGATCCCAGTGTGGTCCCTGTCGTAGTCGGCAGTGGTCGGAGGGTTTTCACTCCCTGATCCCAGTGTGGTCCCTGTCAGAGTAGTCGGCAGTGGTCGGAGGGTTTTCACCCACTGATCCCAGTGTGGTCCCTGTCGTAGTCGGCTGTGGTCGGAGGGTTTTCACTCCCTGATCCCAGTGTGGTCCCTGTCAGAGTAGTCGGCAGTGGTCAGAGGGTTTTCACCCACTGATTTTTCTGGAAGTAGATCTCCAGGCCGTTCTTCCATGGCACCTTTTGGTCAGTAGCCAAGTGCATTAACTGTTTACACCACCTAGGGACTGCAGCCCCAGACTTACATAGCCTCAAAGCTCATCTCAGAAGAAGAGAGAAATCTCCCTCCTTTGCAATGTAGGGATGAAGTGGGTGATAATTTCTGCTTTACTGATAGTATATGGAAAGTACCTACTCATAATTCTTGAAGTTCATTCATTCAACAAACATTTGCTTTACCAGACCTTGTGCTAGGTGCTGAGGATCCAATGATGAACAGCCAGACAGGCCTTCATGTGACTTACTCTTTGGTTGAGGGAGACAGACAGTAAGCAAGGGAACACAGGTGGATGAATAATTACAGGTTATAGGTACCATGAAGGAGGGATACGAAGGAGCTGTGATTGGAATGATGGCCGGGGATAGAGGGTGTGGTAGAGAACGTTTGCAGAGAAGACATCACTGAGGAGCTGACATCTAAGATGGGACCTAAAGGACAAGTGTCAGGTGGTGGCAATGGACAGGGAGTTCCCTAGGGGAAATCTGAACGTGGCCATCATATGCAGAAGGTAGGGGGACAGAGTGACTAGAGCAGCAGACTGCTCCAAGGTGAAAAAGCAATCTGAGATTGATTTTGGGGAAAACTTGCATACAAGGTGAGGTCCTGGGCGGCAGCAGGGCAGGTGGGTAGAGCTCCCTGCTGCTGTCCCAGCTCCAGAGATTACATAGAATAGCTAGGTGGGTTTGTCATGCTACACTGCTCCTCAAGTCTAGCATGTCCAATCATTATCATTTGGATCCAGGTTCCATCCATGATGCTGTCTCTTGCTTCGAGGGCGTTATGTTCCTTGGTCTCGTACTCATTTCTGAGAATGAGAGTTTTTGCTAGATGGTCAGCTTCTGGCCTGGATGCAGCTTGCAGGTCCTGGATTGGTCACTTCTTCTTTTGTCCTCCCAACAATAAGAAAGTTTCCAGCCAAGGGAAGAGCTTGGAGAAGCCATACCAGGCAGAGGACACAGGTGCCCTCAGGCCTGGTGAGAAGAAAAGTTTGGTGTGGTCTTGGTATAGTGTGGGGGGGGATGCTGGGATGAAGGGAATTTGGAGCGTGGGCAGGGAGAGTGTCACAGGGCTTTATAAGCTATGGGAAGAAGTTTGGCTTCATTCTTAGTACAAAGTGGGGCCTTTGGCAGGTTTTCAGCAGGGGAATGCCTTGTTCAGATTTGCGAGTCTTAAATCTCAGTCTGCAGTGGGGCAGAGTGAGCAATGGAGCAACCAGTTAGGAGGTTGAGGATTGGGGCAGGACTGAGGTAGAAAAATAACAGGGGCTCAGACTGTGCTGAGTGAATATGGAGGGAAGTAGATGGAGCCATAGAAAAATTGAGAGGACTTTCCATTGGATTAGGGAGCCCTGGTGGCACAGTGATTAACTACTTGGCTGCTAACCATCAAACCCACCAGCCTTTCCAAGGGAGAAAGATGTGACAGCCTGCTTCAGTAAAGATTTACAGCCTTAGAACCATTCTATTTTGTCCCATCAAGTCCCTATGAGTTGGAATCAACTCGATGGCATT